TTCTCAAGCCCCTGCAAACATTCGCATTCACCCTCAACTTCCGTTCTCCCACAAACAGCTCCAACGAAGGCTTCCATCCTTCAGCCTTCTAGGGAGAGGCCCTTGTAGTGCAACAGAAAACATGCTCTTTCAATATCTTATATCATTGGATTTTATGGTTGTTTTAACCTTCGAAACGTCCATTTCTTTAACTGACTGCACATCCATGGTCACAAAACCGTTTTGGTGAGTTCATCGCTGCACGTTTCTCACTCCGCCTGATTCGCTTCCTATTTTTGTAGCCTGCACTATATACGTTGGGTTCAGCCGCCTCCGACTTCTATACTGTCGTATTTGGCACGTCTTACGTGTCATTGCTTACCGACTAGTAGCCCAGGCTCCGCCCAACAAGTTATTGCACCCGCAAACCACATCTGAAGCCAACGAAGCCTTTCCTTTGAAGACGATAAGAACCTAGCTTCCATTGTGCTGAAAGGTGTGGAGAGGCAGCATAGCGCTCAACCTTATATATTCATCGGCAAACTCATTAAAACAATAATTGCAAACTTTATCGGTAACTCTTACTTTTTACCGTTTCTATTAGTTTCCAAACGCGCTGATTAACACGTACAATTTTTTAGAGTTGCTCCTTAATTTGTCTGCCACAGCCGGCGGAATCAATGTCCGCTACCTTAGATTTTTGGCTTATTTTCCTCCGTTAATTTCCTAAATCTATTTTCCATGGATTGTATGTTTACGGCTCATGAAGCCACCCGATATATCTAAATTCAGGATATCATGTTGTGATGTTACTTCTTCTTACTATCATAACATTTGTCATAAGAAAAGCTTACAGGCACCAAAGCGATTTATTTGGCACAAGTGTTACTGTTTTCAATTGTTGCCGCTTGAACAGCTAAAGATCCGTTCTGCTGTCAACTATGCGACATACTTCATGCGAATTGTCGCAGTGAGATCGTGTCCTTCACCGGGGTTGGGAGGATTGGAACAATAGTTCGGTCGGCTGCATTGCCAGGACATTCACGAGATGGATTAAGAAGATCGACTGCCACAGACCTCCGCTGTGCACTGTCGTGTACATCATACTGACCACCACATCACCAATTACCGTAGAGGAGGCTATTGTAATGCAACAGAAAACATGCTCTTCCAGTATCTTGTACCATTGGATTTTATGGTTGTTTTAACCTTCGAAACGTCCATTTGTTTAACTGACTGCAGATCCGTTGACACAAAACCGTTTTGGTTGGTTTCTTCGCTTCACGTTTCTCGCTCCGTCTGATTCGCTTCTTATTCTTGTTGCCTGTACAATATATGTTGGGTTCAGCCGCCTCCGACTTCTATACTGTCGTATTTGGCACGTCTTACGTGTTATTTCTTACCGACTAGTATCTCAGGCTCCGCCCAACGATTGGTGACCCCCTATCAGGAACACGCCGCCCGCCATTTTGCATTTTCACTCTGGTGAGCTCGTTCCAGTGATTTTGTGATTCATTACTTGTTATCATATTGTTTTCTCACCTACCACATATTTTATCTGCTTTTGTAATGAATTATCTGGAGCATGAGCCGTCCCCATGCGCGGTTAACGCTGTTCAGCCTGCCATGGTCAATTCTGTTGCCTTAGCCCCTCCTCCTTTTTGGGAGTATGATCCTTTATTATGGTTTTACATTTAGAATCCTTATTTTATACTCGTAAGATTTCTTCTGCTTTCGCCATGTACAACCAGCTAATATCTTGCCTTCATTATAGTATATCCTCGCAGGTGAGAGACATTATACTTTGCCCCCTCTAGTAATGAAATACGAGACACTTAAATAGGCTGTTATTCAGCGAATCACGCCTTCTGACAAGTTCCGTCTGCAGCAACTATTTAGTGATCTGCAGCTAGGAGATAGGATGCCCTCAGCCTTGTTGCGCGAAATGCAACAGCTCATCGGCACGTCCCTGGTAGCACAAACGTAACACTAAACGTAGCAACCTGGACATAAACTGGACAGATGTCCACTTCAGGTATTAATGCATTACTTGCAGCTAAATGCATTTAGTTTGACATTTGTTAATAAATTAATAGTTGATATGCATTATATTTGCTATTATTTGACCATAACCCCAGCGGTTTAAATGCATCTGCAGGTCTTTTTATTTGGCCGTTTTCGGTTTCGTAACCTTGGTCGCTGATACTGCTTCGTTCTGCGCTATTATTTAGCTTCCTTGAAACTGCGTTTCCGCAGGTGTACCTATCAGGTATTTCGGTTAAACATTGTTTGATACGTAGGTGTTCCTTTTCAGCATGTCACGTCGACGAAGTTATCAATTAACTGCACAGTTTCCGTCTCGTAGCACCATTTACCGTGCAGCGAAAAGAATGACATCAGGATTCAGCTACGAAGAGGTGCTTCTGTTGTCAGAAGCTAAACGACAGAAGGGTAAGAGCATCTTTAACATATCTTAAATATGATTGCTTACACAGTTCAGCCACCTGCACACGTTATCAACCGCAGTGAAGATGACAGGGACCCCGATGAATTGGTACATAACTTGAGAAAATTGATCGCAAAATCTCAAGTACCTGCGTCTTTTGTTCGTCCACTGTTGTGCCTTGTGCAGCCGTGGATGCCATTTTTGCCAAAGGATTACCGGACGTTGATGCGCACCCCACGGACCTCCCGCATTCGCGTTGTTTCACCGGGAACTTACGGTCACGTAGGTCTGCTGAGAGGTTTACAGCGTGCATGCTCTGCTATTTCGCTCGCCGCTGATGACACTGTTGACTATCAGTTGCATATCGACGGGTTCAAACCTTTTAATGCATCCAAGATGCATGTATGGCCAATCTTGTGCCGTGTCATAAAGCCAGTGATCACGAAACCATTCATTGTTGGTGTTTATGGTGGGACCTCGAAGCCGAATGACGTGGACGATTACTTGTACGACACAATTAATGAGATAGGTACTTTGCAACGCCAAGGATTATTCAAGCTTAAAGCCGTTATCTGTGATACCCCTGCACGCGCGTATGTGAAAAGAAAAAAAGAACATTCGGGTTATTACAGCTGTGACAAATGCACCCAACGTGGTGAGTATATGAGCCGCAAGGTAACGTACCCACTTACTGATAGCACACTACGGACTAATGCATCCGTTCGAAGGAATGATAGCCAACCGTCGCCTTTTGCTGCTTTGAATGTCGATTTGGTTGAGGACTTCCCAATTGACTATATGCATTCAGTATGTTTGGGTGTTATGCGCAGAATGATAAAAAACTGGCTTACTTCGCCCGTGGACAGTGGATTTCGACTGCGCAGAGAGCGATTGATTTTAGCAAACGAACGGTTGCATGAGTTCGGGCCTTCCTGGACATCGGACTTTCCACGTAAGCTTCGATCACTGGATGAATACCGATCTTGGAAGGCAACTGAGTTGCGTCAGTTTTTGCTATACGCCGGACCAGCTTGTTTAATTGGGGTATTGCCTGACGCTTTCTATCAAAACTTTCTAGATCTCTCATTTGCTATTTATATCATGTGCCACCCTCACCTTCACACTGCCTTATTTGATTTCCTTGTTCCTTTAATTCATGTATTTTTACATGATTACTTTGATCTTTATGGTCCCAGTGAGATGACGTGGAACGTACACTCACTGGTTCATCTTCCCGCTGACGTACGAAAGATGGGGACTCTGGACAGCTTCTCAGCATTTCCCTTCGAGTCTCACTTGTTTTCCATCAAGCGCATGATTCACAATTCCCCGCGTCCGGTTGCTCAAATCATGCGGCGTACGTCGGAAGAGGAACAGCTTCCTCCTACTTCCAGCAACGCAAGCACCGTTGGGAATGTAGAGATGTGCACCTATAAGGGTCAGAAGGCGTTTTGTTTGCACGGCATTTTGTTTTCCACTGTTAAGCCGGATAACGTGGTCATCATCGATGCCAAACCCAGAGTACTGACAGATGTGTCTGTGAATGTGTCCGGGAACATTGTCGTGCAATGCCGGGAATTTTTGAATCTCCGTAGTCTGTTCACGCATAGCATGGATTCCTCAACGGCGTACATCTTCCGTGCATCGCAGTTGTCAACTGAGGTATGTACCTTCTCTGTCTGTCATATTCTCTTTAAGTGCATTGCTTTACCCTTGAACGATTTTCTTGTAATTTACCCTATGCCACACAGTTATACACTTTAACTACTAACGTCTTTCTTTTTCAGCAATGATGGCTTTTCCAGGATACAGCGTTGTCAAACTCCTTGACTCCGAGGATTTAATAACTATCGTCAGTAACACTTGGCTTAGAGAAGAAGGTTCGTACGCTCAAATACCTTCAGTGCGGGGTACGCACTACTATGCAGCGGTGAAAAATCACACTGCGCCGGATGTCGATGTGGTCAGCACTGCCGTGTCCATAATCGTTAGCACTAGTAAGTATTTCTCTTATATTAACCCACCTCGTTAGTTAGCTTCCAGCATGCCCGAGAAATGGAACGGCAATCTGAGCGCGGGATGCTGCCATCGACAGACGACACAATTCCCATGGGCCTTCCAGCTAAGCGTGCAATGTGAGTATGGTGTTTTTTATTTCCCCTTAGACGCCGGCCCGTCCGTTCTAGCTCCGATGACGAGGATGCCGCGCGTCCAAGCAAACCCAAAAGGCCTTCTGCAGCAACCTACGCACGTGCGCCCTCCTCTCTGTTCAGTGGCATTAGTCCGTCACGTCCAGGACCATCAACAAGCAACCGTAAGTATCGATTTCATGCTGCCCCTATTAAACAGTAATCGCGCCACCGGTTATTGCTGACGTCCCACCAAGCAATCTGGATGTGCTGCACGAACTGCAGGCCATAAAATGTAAGACGCCACAGATGTATTGCATTGCACTCAGCCTTATTTTTAGATGAGTTGTGTCTAATTCGATCAGAATTGGTCGGCCATCGTCGCATGTCCGAAGCGATGTTGCAAATGCTACAACGACAATCCCAAAGTGTTGCTCCGGGACTATCTCTGCCATTCATATCTCTCAGTGAGCTAAAGAGATATGATGAACGGCTGAAGGACCCCGATTTCAAAATCAGAGTCGTAAGTTCGTCTTATTATTCAACTACTTTAGGTCAACCATTTATGTGCTGTGCACGGTGATAACATACAACTCATCGTCCGGGGTACCATGGAGCGGCTAATGACAAGATCAGTTGCCGCGGAGATAAATTACTCCGGCGCTAGAGGTTCCTTTGCATTCAGGCGAACAAATATGAACGGCCTTGTACAAGGTAGGTTGAAATGCAGTAATCTATAAAAACTACCAAGGCCTCATTCGGCAACGCATGGGTGATGCAGCCTCGGATGCTGACATTACACGGCACATCAAAACGTGGTTGCATTCTGCACGGCACAAAAGACCGCTGGTTGAGCAAACTAAAGTATGCAGTGCGAATGAGGTGAGTCCCCTGCTTCCTTAGGCACATCTTTAGCCTCCTACATTGACACTCGCGGAAGCGGATTAAGAATATTGACTATGCCGCTTTCTGCTACTAACGTTCTTTGTACTGCACCCCTTCCTGTATATATAGCATTCCTATACCTCGGTTTTAATTTTCTTTCGCATTGTGATGTCAGGTGCGCGTTAAGAGCGGTTTCCTTTTCTGACCAACAGCTTTGAGTCGCCGCCTAGGTGGGTTCCCAAGTCCAGAAACTACCGCAACAGGTACCGGGTGAACACTAGGTCCGAGCCGTCCATATATTCGTTAGGCGCATAGTGCGTTCAAGTGTGGTGTCCGTATTCGGATACCCATGGGAGGCAATGACGGGATCTGGACCAGCCGGATTGTCACGCATGGTGGTGAATTTCTATTGGTCAACGCTAGCATCATCTTCATTGGTCCAACGTAAACTGGACAGGAACCCTTTTTAGCCGTCTCACGGTAATACTTCCTGTCCAGTTTAGCCTAATGCTCTCATAGGAACGTTTAGGATGCTAAACTGGACAGGACCTGGACATGTGCTACCAGGGGTCCAACCTGGACGTAGGGATTCTCCGCGGGCTGTGGATGCAACGCCTTCCTGAAAGAACACAGGCTATCCTTGCAGTAGCAAGTGACTTGCCAATCACAGCAATTGCAGATCTAGCAGACCGTGTCATCGAACGGAACCAGCCAGAGACTGAAACCAAAGCACTTAAGCAGCTTTGCGCTGGCACAACCACAACGACAGGCGCGACTAGCCCTCCGTCGGCAATAGACGCGTTATCATTGCAGATAGCGTCGCTTCAGCGCCAGATCAAAGAACTCACCTTAAAACGTAAGCACTGCAACCGCTCTGGATCATCGCAACGTCGCACAAAACCTGATGCCCCAGGTTACTGCTTTTACCACTCGCGTTTCGGTACTAAAGCCCGTAAGTGCGTACAGCCATGTAGCTACTCCGCTATAGATGATTCGCCACGCCGGCCTGTAATGGCTACGAATGTCGGCAAAGCTCAAAGTCCTCTCAGCTACATTAGGGATTATGACTCTTATACCCAGTTCTTAGTTGATACCGGGGCGGAAGTCAGCGTCATTCCCCCTATGCCAGGTGAGCCTACCGCTTCTCTGTCGACAAGTCTCAGTGCTGCCAATGGCACGCCAATAGCCACCTATGGTCATCGGTCACTTACCCTGGACCTAGGTCTTCGGCGTACGTTCCGCTGGGTATTCACTGTTGCTGCAGTCCTATTTGCCATCATCGGCATTGACTTTCTCAGGCATTTCGACCTCTTGGTCGATGCGAAACGCCAGATGATAATCGACACTGCAACAAAACTCAGCGTACGTGGCATCACCGCCGATGTGACATCTATATACCCGGTCTATGCATTTCCCCAGACCTCGTCAGCCTACGCTAATCTCCTTTCTCAGTATCCCAAGCTCGTTCAGCCAATGGACGCATCTTTGCCCGTGGCAGCTCAAGTCACGCACCACATACAGACGAATGGCCCACCAGTGTCATGCCGTCCACGCCGACTATCGCCCGAGAAACTAAAGGTAGCTAGGGCGGAGTTTGGGCACATGCTTGAACTTGGAATAATTCGCCCTTCCGACAGCCCTTGGTCCTCGCCCCTGCAGATGGTCCCCAAGAAATCTGGTGACTGGCGCCCTTACGGTGATTACCGCGCACTCAATCGCCTAACCGTCCCAGATAGGTATCCCACCCCACACATGCAGGACCTTACCGCATGCCTCACAGGTAAGCCGATCTTCAGCAAGCTCGATCAGGTTCGCGCCTATCACCAGGTACCTGTGGAAGACAATGACATTCCCAAAACAGCCGTAATCACTCCTTTCGGTTTGTTTGAATTTTTAAGGATGCCATTTGGACTGTGCAACGCAGCACAAACCTTCCAACGCTTCATCTACGATGTTACCCGCGGCCTAAACTTCGCATATTCCTACCTCGATGATATCTTAGTAGCCAGTTCATCAGAACAAGAGCATCTCGAGCATCTTCGAGCTCTCTTACAGCGCTTGACCGAACATGGTGTCACAGTCAACCCGACTAAGTGCGAACTCGGCAAATAAACGGTAGAATTCCTAGGCCACGTCGTTTCATCGTCTGGTATCGAAGTCCATCCTGATAAGATCCAGGCAATCAAGGACTTCCCAGCTCCGACTTCCTTGAAGCACCTCCGTCAATTTTGTGGTTTGGTCAACTACTATCGACGCTTCATTCCGCGCTGCGCTCAGCTCATGCAGCCACTGACAGAACTACTCAGAGGAAATAAACATAAGTTCGCTTTCCCTGACACAGCACAGGCAGCCTTCGCCGAGTTCAAGGATGCTATCTCCAACATAGTCCTCCTCGCTCATTCCGAATCGACTGCACCTCTTTTTATTACGACTGATGCCTTAGACGTCGCGTTAGGAGCCGTCCTTCAACAACACGTTGATGTGCGCTGGCAACCCCTTGGGTTCTTCACCAAGCGCCTGCAGCCAGCGGAATCCCGCTACAGCACGTTTGGCAGAGAACTGCTCGACATTCACCTAGCAATACGTCACTTCCAGCACACACTTGAAGGCCGCGCTTTCACGGTCTACACTGACCACAAGCCCCTTATATTTGCCTTCAACTCTGCTAGCGACAAATACCCCGGGAAACAAGACACCTAGACTTTATCACGCAGTTCACTGCTGACATACGTCATGTCGCAGGTGTCGACAATCCAGTCGCCGACGCTCTCTCAGGCGTCAACCTCACTCTCCAGTCTTTGCCTACCGTCGACCTTGCCGCAATGGCATCGGCTCAAGCTCAAGACGAAGACATACAGCGCATTCTGCAGTCCTCTTCGCTGCATGTGCAACCTGTTCCTCTCCAAACCACGGAAGGAACCATCCTGTGTGACGCTTCCACAGGTTGTCCTAGAACGCTCGTGCCCGTCTCCTTCAGCCGCACAGACTTTGACGCACTGCACTCGCTATCGCATGCTGGTATCCGTGCATCTTTGAAACTGGTTACCGAACGTTTCGTTTGGCCACGCGTAAACAAAGATGTTCGTACCTGGGCTCGCGCCTGCGTTCAATGCCAGCGCATGCGTTCACTACGCCCGATTTCGCCCCGTGAGCAGACTAGAGATATGCATATGCACAGCGGACTCTCTACCTGCACTCACTTCTTCCTTTGCACCGACGCAGTGCGGCGCCCTCTCCAGCCTCCCTTCACTGGCCCTTTCAGAGTTCTGCAACGGACTCCGAAAAAATTTTACTATAGGCCAGAATGGTCACCGAACAACGGTGTCCATCGACCGACTCAAGGTGGCTTTGTTTGACGAGCCACTTGCAGCCCATCCTGATGCTCTCGCACAAGCACCCGCACCTGTGGTGACTTCCCGAGCACTGGATAACCCGGTATCCCTTGACCGGCAACCTATCCCGCCACAACCCCAGGCAACCGACCGACGCGGTAGACAGGTCAAACGTCCGGTCCGTTTTCCCGATTTTGTATGAATTTGCTATTTTCATTAACGTGCGTTTTTCGTCTTAAATGGTTATCCTGCGTCTCACCCACATACGTTTTGCAAAATCGACAAAAAAGCCCAAAACATTTTGAGAAACCTAAAAAGCGTATTTGCATTATCATGTATGCCATGCTCCCTCTCCGGCGCCAAGCCACTTCCCCTATCCTTGCCAACCCCCTCTGAGTTCTATCTTCCAGAAACTCAACCGCTGGAACTGTCCAGTCAACCCTCAAGTGACTCGCCAACCGGCTCAACGCAACCCTGGAGTGACTAGCCAGTAGTCCCTCAGCCCCCTTCCTCACCCAAGGAACAGACAGTCGCCCTCGACCGCAGACACCCACGAACGGATTGGTCCCCAACCGCCGCCTAGGCGCTGCCGACGAGGACGCCTGCATTTCTTCGTGGGACGAGGATGGCCGGATTTCTCCGAGGGACGACGATGTCTGCATTTCTTCGTGGGACGAGGACCGTGGACTAAAGTGCGGTGGGGGAGTGACACCTCCCAAGCGCACCGTCGGGTCTGCAGCAATGGGAAGGTCCTGTCGGCCTTTTTCTGGACTAGCCAGTTATTTTTGCAGTCCGACCAGCCCGCCCCGACGGCCCACCGATGATGCACTCTGGTCCACACAATCGTCATAAATAAAACTAACGAAAGCCTGGACCCAGCGAAATCTGCTACACCCCACTTTGGAAGCTTTTCTCAAGCCCCTGCAAACATTCGCATCCACCCTCACCTTCCGTTCCCTCCACTAACAGCTCCATCGAAGGCTTCCATCCTTCAGCCTTCTAGGGAGAGGCCCTTGTAGTGCAACAGAAAACATGCTCTTCCAGTATCTTGTACCATTGGATTTTATGGTTGTTTTAACCTTCGAAACGTCCATTTGTTTAACTGACTGCAGATCCGTTGACACAAAACCGTTTTGGTTGGTTTCTTCGCTTCACGTTTCTCGCTCCGTCTGATTCGCTTCTTATTCTTGTAGCCTGTACAATATACGTTGGGTTCAGCCGCCTCCGACTTCTATACTGTCGTATTTGGCACGTCTTACGTGTCATTGCTTACCGACTAGTATCCCAGGCTCCGCCAACACTATTAAACGGACACTAACATCAGTTAAAATACTCAGCTCGCTCCGGCTCAAGCGCTAGGTTGTGCAATTCTGGTGCAAAAGCATAAGGCTGTAGGAGAAATGTTTGCAAAACCCGCCCTCGCTTTTCCAATTCAGTGGCCTATTGGCAACAAATGTGTTCTACAAATAGATGCGCAGCTAACAACATGCGCCACTCCCAAAACACCAAGGAAAACGACCAATAAAAGGCCCTGCAAATAAAAGTTTGCCTATATCAGCTTTTCTCACCTGCAGTAGGCCTACGGAATTCTGGTTCCGGTACACTTACTACCACGACTACAAACATACTAGCTGAATGCCATATTAGCAAGACTAGTGCACGCGGA